AGTGAAACTCGGTGGCTTGTGCCGAGGCGGCTTCGTCTTGGGGACTGCCAGTCGGATCGCGTCTTGGACAGAAGTGGAAGGATAGTTCATAGGAGGAGGTTGAAGCATGCAAGACAGACATATGTACCCCTATTTTAAAAACGTATGTCTTAGAATTGGTTGGGTAGCAGAGGTCTGTCTGCTCTTGCTGAAGTGACTCATACCTGAAGCCGTTGGGGTAACTATACTGAACTATTACGACCTAATCATTCGTATCCAATTCACCGAACCCTCTGAAATCTACAGGCCATTTCATTCATAGAAAATGAGCCATCTTCAATAATCTACTTTGCGTTTCGGGATCGACATGATTCTACGAGCTGAGAGGCTATCCGCATATAAGATAATATACCTGGCACGGGGAGGAGTCAAATAATACTGTGTCACAGCTGTTCTAGCCATATGGATCTACCGTAGCGGTATTGAACCTGTGTGCTATCGCTCACATTCGAAATAAGATAATATACGTCCCATGAGCTTATTGGAGCCGTAGACACGGAGGGTATCACAGTTCCCATCTTTCAAAACGAATGTACAGTGCTTAGGAATATATATACCTGCGGCAGCAACTATATGCTTTTGGGTAGCTTAAGGAACGTAGAAAAGATCGAGAATAAATTTATTATAATAAGCTAAAACTAATCACATTAATAGGAAATATTCTACTTCAAAGAGAAACCTGTGCATTACTAGATCATTGTTTTCGTTGTAGTCTATAACACCTAGTGTATTTTACATGGCGAACTTCCGTAAGGGCATGTAAGCCGCAGCAAGCTAGCTTCGTCATATGTTGGGTGCCTCTCCATCAAGGTGTTAGAACGAGAATGTTTGAAATCACAGCCAAACTCAACTATTACAGCTTCAAATAATTTAGAATATTTATATACAAATAAATCCGTAAAAAGCATTCAAAAACTTTATATTAATTAGTTTTGATTTTATTTTCTTTGTTATGCCACCAAAACCGCCCCCCCCCCCCCCCCCCCCCCCCTTTTCATTTTCTTGTTTTCCCATACAACTAAAGCTTTTTTAAAAACTAAACTTCTAACGACTATAGCTCAACTAAAAAAAATCGAGGAAAATAAAATTCTATGTGCGCTATATAACTATCTCATTTAATTAACTTTGTCAAATTTTTATCAATATTGTTGCTTGTACGTATGTTGAGTTATTGGAAACTAGAGTAGTTGAGTTTAGCTGTGATTCAGAAATTCTCGGGTTTTTTAAGACCGACTATAGCTTCATTTTATGTATGGTCCTTCGAGCCTTATCAATGATAAATCCATCTAGCGGCTTAGCCCTATAGCGTAGAGGGTTTCCACCATCCAACATAGGACCCCTTCGCCTATTGGGGGTACCTAGCATTCCGTACAGATAAAAAAGGGCCATCGGCCATAGCTTCGAGGAGCGTGTCGCCCGGTATTCGCGAGTATCATGAAACAGCAGGCTTTGCTTTTTTAAGCTGTCACCCACTCAGCACCACATAAGAGATATAAGTGACTATAGGAATACATACACTTAGCTAGACATATAGCGAGTGATACCGCCCTCGATAACGAGGCTGGTAGGTACATTCGTTACTGGATAGGCTGGCGGAAGGTGCGTCATCAAGCCACTTCCGCAGACTTTCCAATCACAGTTCGAGTAAGTGACTTGTCATTGTTTAAGGAACGAATGACATAGTAGTAAACAAGATCACTTCTCGGACGCCATCTTCTACTTTACAGTTATTTCTTAGCTTTCTACTTAAAGAGCCACGATGTGTAATTTGATCTCATTTTTCTACTACAGAACTGGCCGTTTGTTTATCTATTCATATATGTCAGCTCTCCACAGCTTTCTCTATTTAGACTTTGCTATTATATCAACCTTTCTTATTATAATCCACATTTACTACTACAACCATCTACGAAATAAATATGTCATCCTCTCCTAAATCGGATGTCGAAATGAAGGACGTTCATCTTGACGGTCTCGAAGAACATCAGGTTTTTGACACAAGCAATAACCGACTTTCGAATTTCGTTACGCAAAATGAAAGTGAGCTCTTATTCTCTTCGAGTGGTGGTAGTGTTCAGGAGGCATCTCTTGTGAAGGCAGTTTCTTCTACTTGGCCATCGTCGATGTCTTTGCTCTGGCCTCTGCCGTTGTACGCCGTTCGTTTCATGGCCCGCTAACCATCGTGGTTGCACAATAGTCTCCCAAGCAGATCCTAAGGACCAACCGAGGGATGGCGGAAGCCCGATTCCCGCCGACGAACTCGAGGAAGCATCAGATACTGGCATGCTTGACATTGATCAAGCTGATGATTGGAATGAAGGCGGGTTGCAGTATAGTGACGCTTGTCCGGGCCCGAACCCGAATCAGGATAACGTCGTTGATACACATGGCCTTTTGAACATCAAGACAAGCCCGGGCACTTGTCTGACAATACACCTTCCGGAGCGAGGCGTCCAGATCACCGTGGGCACCCCTGACACCCAGATCAGCATCCAGACACAGTGCCGATATTGCAATTAAAGCTTTCCCGCTCAGGTGTGGCTGTCATAATAAATAAATATATAAGGTCGAAGAGGGCTCTTAAGTAGTTACGGTATATAAATTAATAAAGGGGCGCTGTCTAGGTTCATGGCGCATGAAATAAATCTACCAAGGGGAGTGCAAGACGTGCTTTTCGGTACGCATCTTAATGCGCGCCTTTATACAGCCCGTGAAAGATAACTTCTCTTTGCGGCTAGTATTATATTTTGGCTGGTTTTCCAATCAACCAATTCGGTTCCCGTCTAAGTAGTCGACATCCGCGTTACCTGTAGAGTAGATATGGACAACCCTCCTACTTTTCGCCAGGTCTTTGATTTAATTGCCTTACGCCACAGAACAAAATAATTCGCGTTCCTACTCGTATAATTAAGGCTGTTACGTTCCTTCCTAACATTTCGAACAGACTCATCAACGGGCACTTTGAAATGTTGGAACGAAGAGATGTAGCCTAATGCTCCGCAATATCTGCTCAAAACTTTACAAACGTAAACTGATAGATTCAGGAGTTTGAAATACCGTTCTGGGTCGTCTAGCAGGCGGTACCCACAGGACGAACATTTGACGGGCACCAAGTTGAAACCAGGGACAACGAAGTCTGTTACGCTCTTTCACTTTCCTCTGCGACGGCGCCAGCAAATGAACTTGACCGCAACATGTAGAGCAACATGGCTAATACCAAATTCATCGATCGAGTTTCTTCGCTTGAACTGCACTAGTATGCTGTAGGTGTAGATCGACCGTCTGACAAATGAAATGGCAACGCCATCAATATTCAGACCGGGTTGTGGTCGCAGCCACTCACGGAAAGCTAGAGGCACGCCAACCCATTCCATGCCTTTCGTAGTAATAGACTTCTTGATGTCGTCGCCCGCGCTCGTATCCAGTCCATTTTTCGTGAGTATGCCAATGGCAGAGGACGACCAATTGACAAGAGACAGGCTGAATGTGCTGTCCTCAAGTGGTAGCGATTGGAGCTGTTCTACCGTGTAAGTTATTCCGCACTTAAAGTTGAATGGTAGCGTATCTAGGTACTTACCTAGCAGTACTCAGCACTCTATATAGCACCTAGGTAGGTGTGACGTACTTATACAGCTATACCATTACTACACACCAAAAATAGGTAGCCACGCCATGGTAGATCTAAGTAGCAATTCTTCACACTACAACAATAAAAATTGCAAATTAAAAAGGCGCTAAGTTCGACGATCCCTTGCGTTTGGAAAGTCTTTCAATTGACACATTCACACCTAAACCATATATAAAACACGTCTGTCGTAGGAGAATTGATCAATTGATTGATCTAGTCTGTCATCAATGGACCTCCTTTTCGCTTCATCGCATGAAGAGGTTCGAAACCAATTAGCAGCAATTACACTCTTTTGATGCTATTGCACCCTATTACACCTTTTAGAAGCCATTGCAGCCTTTTTACAGCCTTGCAATTATTATTGAAGCTGTTCTTCGTAGTATTGGATCCATATAAGTAGATGGGCCAGGCACCTCAAGCTGATTATATGTGGGTATAGCAGAGCTAGTGTTGCCCTTAGAAAAGGCATTGAAGTTGTTGAACGCGTCCGGATCATGGGAACTCGCTCTGATTTGGGTATGTTGTTCTGGGGTTGACGCGCCCTCTTTCTGGTGGGACAACGGGGAGACCATGGCGCAACATCAGCAGACCTCGACTCATACTTCCGGCAATTTCCTCGAGCTTTTTGGCGTCCTCGATATCTGGAATGCATTCCCTAAAGCCATAGCTTGATCCTGTCGTCTAAACTTCCTACAGTTAGATTATCGTCTGTCTAATCCTTTCCGCTTTAGCGTATCTAAGAATTGACCGAAGAACATTGCTCGACTCAATAAAATATGGCCTGATGTATAGGAGTCAGGCCAGTGATGCGATAAATTTGATTGCTTCGCTGAGCTTCACGCTGCAGCTGTTCACAATAGACCATAGCTTCCATGGAAGTTCAAGGACTTGTAAAAAATGATGTGTCAAGTTACCTCGATCTACAAAGGAGAATTGAAGTCTCAACAACAATAGTGAACTATTTCAAGCCTCGAAAACCACGTGTGATGTTATAGACAGCCCGGGCCCCGAGGTTCACACAGGAGTACAATTTTGAGCTGGCTAGCATTTATCAACTTGGCGTGATAGTTATCAGGATGAAGGGAGGCTGCCTGATGTCATGGTTGCAAAGTCGGAAATAGCTTAAAAGCGTAGGTCCAGAGTAGCTTGTTAGGTGTAGTGAAGCCACACCTAGTGAGCGTCTAGTCAGACAAACGCAACCTTGGCGAAAAGACTACCCCACATACAGAATTTGTCTCTTCTAGCCAATCATCTCATCCAAGCTTGAGCCCCGCTCCTAGACAAGATTATTATCCACCTCAAGTTGAGCCTTATCCAAGCCTTACAAGCATAGGCCCGGCTAGCTCAATGGTTAGAGCATTTCACTTCTATATCATTATTGATAATGAAAAGGTTGCGAGTTCGAGTCTCGCGTTGGGTTGTCGGTTCTTTTTCCTGATTCATTTTTTCATAAAAAAATACTTATTTTATGAAAACGTTAGATTATTTTTGGAATTTACTTATTTAGTTGTTTATCAAAAGTGGCCTAAATGCTCTACTACGGGCCCCAACATTTCCCTTTCACACAACCTACCTACTACTTTACTCCCGCTCCCGCTCCCGCTCCCGCTCTTCCCTTGCACTCCCCCCCCCCCCTTTGCCGACTAGGTCACAATCATTTCCCTTGGTCGAGGCGAGGTCGTCTAGTCATTGAAAAATGCGAGAGACGATGCGATTTTTGTGGAACAGAGCTTCTCACTGCTGCGGCTCTTAGGAAAGTGCGTTACCCCATCTCCTAGAGGGCATTAACTTTGTTGGAGCTGACATGGTGGCGCAGCATGTCTACAACCACAAGACCAAGGAGGTTTCAAAATTACCGTCGCCCCGAGCACGAGTGGGAGGCATCGAAGGAGCCTCTTAAAGCATGCTCTCACAAAAACAAAGTCACCTAGGGATTCTTGGTATGGTGGGACTGGGGAACATGCCTCGTCAAACTTGGGACCATATCCGGATCAGGATGACCTGGGATGCCCAGAAAATGCAAGTGGGAGCGAGATGACGCATACAGCAGCGCAGCCATCAACCATCAAACACTCCACATTAATAGGAGGCCAGTCAGACGTCGACACTCTCACAAGAAACCGAAAGTGCCGTCAATGGGGCTCACGGTTTCGAAGAGGTTGGTACTCTCTAGAAGGACATTATCCAGGTTAAGGCCCAGCTAAAGAAGCTGCAGCAGCAGCATAATGCCGTCTTTAATGCCCTAAGCGAGGTGTTGGGGGAGTATAGGAGCTTATGCACTCACGCCATGCTGCTCCGGAACCAGTGCAATCGTCATGAAAATGCGGTAAAGCAATTATAACCTTCGGAGCCAACGTATATAGAAAGTAGTTTGAGGGACGGGGTGAAACTTGGAGCGTGCGGGAGTTCCTCACGAGCCTCATTCCCAATGCTCAAGCCCGTGGTTAAACCCAGATGCCCTTTTACTTGCGGACTCTGCAAAGCAGCCAAGGAAATTGTATGTGCTCGCTTGCAGTTGAGGGGTACGGAGGGAGCAGAGCTGCCCTCTCCGCTGAAGCAATAGTGGATTTGAATGGCCTTGGAAGTGGTTTGCGCTCCAAAGCCAGTATTTATTGGAATGGCTATCGGGTGAAGGAACATTGGCGACTTGTTTCTCTAGCGGCCAGGATACTTAAGGACAGCTCACCTCACCGCTCACGCATTTTTCGTTCGCCTCATCTCTCCGTCTCCAACTTCTCCTGAATACTATCGTCCTGAAAGGCGACACCTTGATTAGACGAAAGACCCGAATGGATTAGGAGGCAAGGAGGCAGTAGCAAGGAGGATATGACCGAATCGTCACCCATACATTACGCACCGCAGGCAGGCTGTTCATCCTGCCCTGACGTCAAGCGACACTACTAACGCACAAGATGCACCACAGTCAAGGCCGTGGAAGATGCTTTGGATGATTCGGAAGTATTCCTCCTAATTCTAGAACGAAATGACGATGAGTCTTTACTAAGAGGAAGTTACTAGTAGGAAGTTGTTGGTGGAGACATAGTCGAAGCTGTCATTCTTTTCAGCGGGGTGGCAGGAATCCCTTCCTTGGCCCCAGGACAGAGCTATTGAAAATGAAAAATCTGAAAAGGTTAGAGATGGGGAGATGAAGTAAGCAGAAAACTCGGGGTAGGCTGTCATTTAGTAATTGTGGCCGCCAGAGAAAAATGTAGCCGACATTGTTCGAACTAGACGGCATCCCACTATGCTAAGTTTTAGAGTGCCAGGTCATTCTTCCACCGTTGTCTGCTTATCTGCCCCGAATCACACTAGCTGCTAGATGCAGAATGCTGCTCCGGCGGAGAGGGCGAGTAAGGCGGCTATTCTCGATCTCAGCTTGGCCCTCACTCTTCCAAAGAACAGCGACTGCTGAGAACCCTCTCAGTTTGAAGGCTTCTGAGCCTACCAGCTTTGACCAACACGATGCCGGCCCACATGAGTCTAGACGAACAGCACCTGGAACGTTGTCACATCTTGCTCTGTCACACGCTTAGAGGCACACGTCCTCGACTGGCCATTCCTCGAATTTCGCGAAAGCGGCTACCCCAGGTTCTCATCTTGTGAAAGTGGTAGGGTACGCCGGTGCGCGACTGAGCAATTTCCCATCACCAGACTCCATAGGGATAGGGGAGCAACCAAGCTGGACACATTAACAGCGCTGCCAGAGGCCGAGATGCAACACTGGTCAGTCGTTTTTGAGTCATGCCGTCGAGGACTCTGGCCCTGAGGCCATCTAATCAAAGTATCACGTTGGCCCGGGTGTGAAGGGTGGCGCTTCCGAATCCAGACCCGCCATACCTCCTTGTTCGCCATTGGCGTCCCTGCAGGTTCGCGACCGCTTCACGAGCCTCAACATATTTGTTATTTGGTACGGACGGTCTAATCCCTCCATCCTGGTTTGAAGTGTGACGGGCTCCAGGCCATGATCCGGGGCGACTGAGCCTTACACTGGCTAGCAACACATCCATTGGCCAGGTAGAGACTCATCCCAGTTGCATGCAACAGCAACGTCATGCTCCGGTATCGAATAGAAAACCGCCTTATTTCTGTTGAGTGGCAATCGCCCAACCGGTAAACTGACCACCACAGAGGGGCTGGCTCAAAATGCCCGGTCCCCATCTAGGCAGCCGCCTCGTTTGCGAATGATGGTTCAACTAAACTTCGTTCCCCATCTCATAGATCCAGCGCTTGTCTCCCGTTTCCGACCACTGATGAAATATGTTCTTTTGCACTAGCTGTCAAGCGATCTTCCAACTTGTTTAAGTATGCCTCACACGCTCGAGGCTGTAGGGCTTTCGTCACTCCTCATACAGCCGACAGTTGAGGATCAAATCTTCTCAAGATGTAAAATGGCAAAGCGCCCCCATGTGTCAAATAGTGGCTCGAACGGCGCATGTCTAGGCCGATATGCGGCAATTTTGCCACTAGTTAGGACACGGTGCAGCCGAACAAGAAGGAAAGGCAAGGAAAATGGAAGGCCAAAGCGAGGGTGCGAATATGGTATATATATTGAGAACTGTTGGCCTCGTGGTCATGAAGTGGGTACATGGAGTCTCCGGTCGAGGAACAAAGTTCATAATCAAAGTTGTAGCATTGCCATACCACGCATAACGAGTCTGTCTCCAGTTCAGCACTAACAAGCTCAGTCCGCCCGTTTACTTCTCCCCATACGATTATAAATGGTGATGTCACAAGGTAGAGAGCTATGTTACCAATAAAAACCAGCTAGTTTCGATAAAGTGTAACACTATGCTGTACAGGTAATACATATACTAGTAGTTTTGGTTTAAATAAGCTAATTTCCTCTTGCACTATTGATTGCCAGAGGGCAGAGACTTGTATTCACTTGTAATAGGTAGAAGCTAGACTATAACTTACCTACCCGCCCGGACTTTTCTGGCAGTTAACTTTATTTCTCATCCTAGCGCTGTTCGGGATTGGTTCGCGTGCTATAGTGAGGCTGGGCACCTAACAATATTTACCAATTTGGTACCTAGACTAGTCTAGTGTGGCTTTTGCAGGTGGAGAATTGGAGACTGGTTCCCGAAAAATGACAGGCGGCCCTTTATCTGCCGGCCGGACAGGATATCTTCAGTCCTTTTCTCCAGCAGCCAAGTCTAGCAATATTACGATGGAAGACAATATCTTTGTGGACGAGCTTGTAGGTAATAAAGGTCAAGCATATAGCAGTACTTCGGAGCTCAGCTACTGTAGCTCATGAGTGCGTTCAATCGGTGTTCATCTCATACCGATCCCTGAACGAATGTCTTACCGAATTGGTTGGACAAAAGCGGAGAACTTTGGGTCTAATATCCAAGCTGCGGGCCGGCTGGCTTAGCTTGCATGAAAATGGCTAGCTACGTACATTGTCTTACCAGAAGAGAATGGTTCGAGTGGTTGGGCTCAGCTGTGGCCGGAAATCTGACCCACGAGATCTTCGTCTCGGCTGAGGGTCGTTACAGTTTGCGTACAAGAGGCCTGCACTGAGCTATAGACTAATGTAGAGGCACGGCAGATCATCCCAGGGTTGGTCCCCGATCAGTACCGATGTGCTATATCAACCGTCTTCGATTGGGCGATATTCCTTGCTAGCAAGACATGAAAAGCAAATAGCTCGGGGAGCTTGTGACGTGGTGGCGCCTCTTGTGCAGCATATTGCGGTGACATGACTGAGGAGCTCTGCCAGTCCGCCAATGCTTTAAAACCCGAGCTGCTGCACAACCGAATTACGCAATCCCTTTGAATCTGCAAGCTGGTATATTCACAAGCAAGCAACTATGTCCCAACCAATTCCTCAGCCGCCGGGTGTGCCTTTACTGGGCAACATCAAAGACATCGATCCGAACAACACATGGTGGTCTCTGAAGAAATTAGCAGAACAGTACGGAGAGATTTTCCAGGTCAAGGTCTTAGGCAAGACTCTCGTCTTCGTAGCAGGTGCAGCACTAGCGGAGGAGCTGTGTGATGAGAAGCGGTTTCGAAAGTTCGTGGGTGGTCCCATTGTCGAGATCCGATATGCAGTACACGATTCTCTCTTCACAGCTTTCGACAACGAGCCCATGTGGGGTATCGCCCATCGAATTATCGCGCCCAAGCTGTCAACCTCGGCGCTCTCCTCGGAGGCATTTAGTGAGATGCGAGACTGCACAAGCGAGCTTCTCGAGAAGTGGAAAGGCCTGGGTGTTAATAACAAGATCTCTCCTCTTGGGGAACTGAACCGACTTAATCTCGAGGCCACGACGCTGACACTTTTCGGGAAGAAGCTCAATGGTCTCACTGGCCCGGAGCACCCTATGTTGAAAGCTATGGAGGATTCGACATCTGAGGCTTTGAAGCGCCCCACGAGACCCGGCTTTCTCAATTGGTTCTACGGCAACAAGA